GTTTTACAAGGCGACGCCGGATAGTTAGCCACGTGACACACGTGAACTGCGTGATACCGCGACACGCCCACCGGGGTATGCCGCGAAATACCTCACCCATTTTGAATGGCTGCATCTGTAGGTCTGTGTGGATCCTAATGCCCCAGTATAGTGACTGGAACACTTTACTATACAAAGGCGCTGTCCTTCGAATAATGTATAACCAAAGTCGTGACTGTGGCCATTAAACATCCCAAGGTGTTTCTCAAAAAGAATAGGGGTGTTACTCCAGCATCCTGGGCAAGTTTCCCCATAGGCCTTTACCAATCATGGCCCCCTAATAAACCCCATCTATGAATTGCTTCATCATTCTGTTCTCCTTCCCCTGATAGCTGATGTGTGTGCTGCCGTCACATCATCATGGTGGGTGCTGCACATGGGTGGTGGTGGAAGGGAGTCGCCATCTTCTGTAAACATTTTCTGGCAGCAGTCTTACTTCAGAAGACATTGTTATTTTTGGTTTTATTTAATAAAAAAACTGTTCCATTCTAGTGATTGCCAGTAATCTTACCCTTTTTGCATTACTATGTCATCTGACAGATGCACAGCCTTTTAGAACTGGTGAAAATCGAGCAGAACATCTACAATGTTGTTTTCCATGAGCTCATTCGCCAGATCACAGTAGAGTGTGCAGAACGTGGGAAACTGCTGTCTAAGCTCAGGTTGGTATAGAGCTGTTAAGTGATTCTCTGCCAAAAAGTCCTAAATAGAGTGAAAAGCCATTTTATTTTAAATTTGGTGAATTTGACAATTTGACCACCATTACAATAGAGACACAAATGAAAGATATGATAATTCAGATTATACAGTAGTTAATTCCATTCAGGATTTAATTGTGATCTATTCAGAATTGATTTTAAAAAGCATATTTTTACAAAAATAGTTATCAGTGCAATACATATATAGCTGGTAGTTATCACCCTAAAACTCACAACTGGCAACCCACTATAAGATGGTGTGAACCAAACCAATACCTAGATGAGAGAAGTCCTGGTAAAGCTAAGGTTGCTGCTGGAAGGGGTGTTAGTGGGACCCTGCAGTCTGTGTGAATCCTAATGCCCCAGTATATATTATAAAAAAAAGGTTCATGCTTCAGATGAGACATAAACCTGATGTCCTGACTCTCCAAGGTCATTGAAAATCCCAAGAGGTTTCTTGAAAAGAGTAGGAGTGTTAACCAGTGCTTTTGCCTTTACCAATCATTGCCTCCTAATAATCCCCATCCATGATTTGGCTTCATTACTTTGTGCTCCTCCCCACTGATAGGTGATGTGTAATGAGCATACTGGCTCACTTTAGCTGCTGTTGCATCATCCAGGTGGGTGCTCCAGGGTGGTGATGGAGTGAAATCTCCATTACCTGTTAAGTGCTTTGAGTGGAGTGTCCAGAAAAGCAATATATAAGTATAAGAAATTATAGTTATTAAATATTATTTATTATAATAATTATATAAGAGTTGTTTTTGAACCAAGTTTTACATACATGTGCAGTGTAGGTAACTCCTTTAACAGTTTCAAAGTAAAACATTAATGCTATTTTTTTTGTAGGCAGAGATACATTTTACTTTTGGACCGGATCCCCCGTCAGTTGAAAAGCCTCCATACAGAGACAGTGGCTTTGCGGGCACTGGACAGACGACTCACTGAGGAGATTGTATGCTTTAAAACTTCCATTGGACAACTCCACAAGTAAGGGTCAATTCCATTAGGCTTAGGCTAGGATAGGCTCAGAAAAACATCTACAGACAGAACATTGTAAAGATAAAGAAGCTCTCCTACAAATACGCTTTTCCAGACAATTACCAAGCTTTCATTTTAATTCTTGCAGCTTTTTTCTTGTACTGTAAGTGTTCTGCCCATGGCTATATCTTTAATACAGCCATGCAGTTAAAACTATTACTGCGACACTTGCACTGCTGTGTTTTAAATAATAATATTATAATAAAACAACTAATATCAGCACTGAGACCTGACTTTTAAGAATTAAAATTAAGCAAGTCATACACGGTATTTGTAAGAAGCAACTCTGTATATACGGGTCACTGGATGTCTACTTTATCAACCCTATTTTAATATATATATATTAAATCATAACAGATTTTCCTTGGGTACTAAAACTGTAGTCTAAATGCCTTGGATTCAGTTTTGTTTGTGATACTTGTGAGCCTTTTCCTGTGGACAAATAGTTGTGCACATACTTAATCTTACCAGTGAATGCTTTTTAGCTGTTTTCGTCACTGAGTCTTATATTTCTGTGTGGAGTTTGTATTGGGTGTACATTGAGACCCAGTGTACAGAGTGTGTTAACATTCTACGATTATTGCAGTGAGCTGACCCTGCTGAGACAGCATGACTTGAGAGTATCCAAAGCAGCTGAGTGTGCACAGGAGGAGATGGCCAGGGTTCTGCAGCAGGCCCAGAAAAATGCAGAGTAAGTCTACTAAACATTTACAGGCTACCAGTTGAGTTACTGCAATAAAGGGAAAAAATGTTAGCGACATAGGAGAAAATTGGAAAAAAGCATAGAATTCTTGTATGCATCGTTTGTGAGTATTGAACTCAACCTTTCTTTGATTAAAGGAACTCTAAAGAAAACTAATAACTCTGTATACTTTATGTATGTTTAAAACAAGATGATTCTGTTAATGTTCCTTTTTTGTTTAGTCTTGTAACTACAAGATGTTGTTGTTGTTGTTGTTGTTGTTGTTGTTGTTGTTGTTGTTAATAACAATAATAATACTTTATAATAGCAAGATATTGTAGAGATTTTATCTTACTATTGACACAAGAACACAGAGAATACTGCAAAATATCCATCACCACCATCAATATTTTATTATTTACCATATTGTGATATATAAAATGAATAACGTTGTCAATATAGTGTCCATATTATTTATTATATTTTATGTGTATATTTGTTTTTATTTATATTTATTTTTAAAATACAATTTTTTAAAGTCACTACGTATAATGTGTTTCTCATAATAATAATCTATAATATAGATTTTTTTGCTGCTTTTTGTTTTTCTTCTTGATGCCACTTTCGGGTGTCATGGAAAATGTAACTGTCAATAAAGGAAATTAATTTTAATAAAGACTATTCTTCTCAGTTTAATATCTGACACATCCCCAATACAAATGGTGATGCAATAGTTTGAAAAGCTTCCACAAGTTGGGGAGCTGCTAATTGGTGGTGCTTCTAGTTTGGTTTTTGGTAGAGCAAAAGCTAGTTAGAGCTCAGGAAGTCCTCCTACAAACGGCTCTAACAGTGAAACCATCACAGTCACTAGAGCTCTGTTTGTGTTAGTTTATGCAGTTGAAAGTAGCATTTGTACTGCTTTTATCATCTTGAGATATTGTAGTAGCTTTCAAACCATACAATATTGTAATGTATTTCAAAGCAAATAAGAATGTACACATAAAAAACAAAACAGAGGCAGATTAAAATACGTTTTGATTGTCATGACTGTCCAGTAAGTTGCATTGCAGCTAATACAAGTCTGCCCTAAACTTAGGTCAGTATATTTAAATTGTTAATATCTCAATTTTCCATTGAGGTACTGTGTCTTATGCTCCACTTGGAAACATGTATGGAATATAATTTTATAATCGCTTGGAATCTAGATGAAGGCATTCTTTAAGAATAACGCAAATTAGTAACAGAATCCAGACAGCATTAATATTTTTAAACACATAAAATCATTGGCCACTGGAATATCTGGGGTAAATTTACATGAAACCTCTTGCAACTTTTGTTTGGGGTGCAGGGAAGAAAGAGAAAGGTGCATCAATCGTAATGCTTTTATAATAAATCCAATTTATAAAAATCTAATATTAAAAATATAAATAAGTTTATATTTTAATAAAATCTTATATTATGACACAGTTTTTTTATTTACATCAGCATTATCATCATAGCATAATATGTCTTAAAAATGTGAAGCTACATTGTTAGACTACTTTATATACTATACAAACAACTTTAAATTAAAAATCAGAACAAAAGAACTTCAGAGACGTGTCGGCTGCCCAGCTCATGGAAGCATTTCACACTGTTGTGTGAAACTATTGTGCATCACAATTTGTATTGGGGATGAACTGTATCATAAATTACACTTTAAAGAACATCTTCTGCATTAAAAGTCAGCAGATATCTACAATACATTGTGTGGAAAGAACTAGGTTTAAAAAGCCAACAAAATGTTCTGATAATCATATCAAGGACCAAGTAGGTGGGAGGGAGAAAAGGATTTCAGTTTGTTTTTCTCTAGCTGGCCTAGCAGTCATCTAATTGACAATTAGTTTCATTTTTCATTGCATCTCAAAGTGGCATTAAAAATATAATAATCACCAATAATTTAAGATTAGTAATATTTTGAAACTAAATTAGATATACTGTTTGCATCTTCTTTGAATCCTCCTCCTCTACCCTTTGAGGTGGCTGGGACCCTCTTCAGTTTGAAAAGTCACTAAGGCCTGCAAAGTAGAGATGGTATGGGGCAGGGGTGTACACTTTTTCATGCTACCAGGAGCAGAAATTCAAATCCCACTACCAGCTTTCAAAAATCACAGAATTGTTAATTTTTTTTCAGACCTTAAACTATCCTTAATTAAAAGTATTTGAGAAAAAGAGAAAGAGTGAACAGGTGAGAGAGAATGAATAAGTGAGAGAGATCCTTTTCAATATCAAAGGAGTTTTGCAATCAAGCATCACTTTGGTTGTAAGAGCTACTGTAAATTAAAAACTACAAGTGCTTCATTTTTCATTGCAACACAAAGAAGCATTTTATATAATATTGTTACAAATGATATAGAAAATCAGGAACTGACCAACCGGGTTAGTCAATAATGAAATAAATATTCATAACCCCCAACTTGTAAATTATTTCTCCAGAATATATGTGAAAAGTTGGTATAGTTATATTTAATTTAATTATTTGTTCTGTGGCACAGATGTGGTGAAAAGAACATTAATTCAGGCACACTTGGTTAAACAAATATTTATTAACAATGACAGTGACACACACTATACTACATGCAACATAAACCTACAGCACACAAGTTTCGCTATACAGAATGTACAGACAAGGTGTTTCAGAGATATACAGTACAGATGCAGCCATTCAAAACAAGCGGGGTACGCTGCAGTATAACGCGGTGGGTGTGTCGCATCAAAACACTGTATAACGCGTCATTCTACGTCATACCGCAAATTACCATATGCAAATCCGATTATGTAAATAGTATCCGAAATCACCTTGTTAAACCGCCAGGAGGAGCTAATAAAGCTTAACCTCTCCTGTACAGCATTCGAGCTGTCACCAGAAAATGCTGGTTTCAAATCCCGATCTCTTTAGACTTTTCAATTTAAACTGTGTATTACAGCATGTTAATCATCATACATTAAAATGTTGGTATATTTTATGAAAGCAAGATTGCTCAGTTGGGCAAAAGTACACAACCTACCTTTATCATAAATATTTTAATTATGCAGAAATATTTTATGCATCAAAGTCTTTACCGAAGATATTACTAATAGTATTAATAATGAATGACCTTGGACAAGCTGTAAACTCGAAGTATTAACCTGGTCCACATTCTTTGTAACCATCTTTGAAAACAAAAATACTTTATTTTTTCAATGACAATAAGTAACACCACAGTATTTCGTTGATCCGATCACGTATTCGTTTCCAATCATACAAAGTGATCTCTGATTCACCATGCCTTTCATATGCTCATAAAATATATTATTTAGGAACATAAACATATTACTGTATGTAAACTGTACTGTATATGGCTGGTCTTGGTAGTTTAAAGAAGAAATACACACCAGTATACCATTTCTCCATAAACATTTTAAGCATCAACGTTTTACATGTGGTTATTTCGAAATGTTTTTTCGTGCTCCTTCTGAACATATTACTGTACATTTATATACTTTTTGAAAATTGATCGTTTTAACCTGTTCTGAGAATATGCTCATTATCAGATTAAACAAAAGAATACTTTTATAATTGGATTAATAGGGAATATAATATGCATTTGCGTATCTAAATAAATTAAAAACGGTGTAACTATATTATGGAACATGACTTCAATACTTACTGTAAAATGTTTAGGGAGAAATGGAATACTGGTGTGTATTTTTTCTTTAAAATACCAATACCAGCAATATACAGTACAGTTTATGTGATATGTTTATATTCCTAAATTCATATCGCTTATGACCTTCAGATGCATTATGCTCCTATTCTTTTTATGCTCGGCTACTAAAATTTCTCTTTAGTGGTAAAATTCCATATAAATATTCAATACTAAGCAGATTAAGATGTGCACAGTAAAGAGATTAAATGATTAAATCTTTTCACTACCGAGCAATGCACCACTAATGCCCCTGTTAACCTAGAACAGTTCTTAAATATTTTTCTGTTATCTATCATGCTTTCCTGTGTTCACAAGATTGCCAGTGTTCCAAAACCATGCACATTCTCCTACCTCCCTATTTTTAAAAAAAATACAATTGGTCACTTAAATTCCTATACAATTGTAGAGAAGTACATAGTTGCTTTTGTGCGCAATCAAGTATTAGCGCACACTGTATCGTAGTACCTAGGCTGCATAAATGAATTTTATTCAAATAGAAAATATGAAAAGCGTCCCAATTTTTCAGTGCACACAACACAGTTCCAGGGTTATCTGGCGTACCACCTGAGTTTGAGAGCCACGGAAATAAGGTATACCAAGATACTGTAAGATTTAGTGATTTTGTAATTATTTTGATCACAGATTCTGGACCCCCTCAGCAAACATTCCCTCTGCTTCAAAGCTGGAAATGTTTACACTGCCAGATGTTACACACTTTATCTAGATTCTTATACACTCCCATTGTCACCTACTTTATCAATAAATAAAAACAATTAAACTTACGGAGTTTATAATCGCTTGCATAGGAAGGAAAACCAGATGTTTTTAAGAAAGAAACCATTTGAATAAAAATACTGCATCAAAACTTGCATTGAAACATACAAAAACATCATATTATTAATAATAAATATCATAATTATTGTGGTGGTGATGTGGTAAAAGTGTAGTTTTCTTACATTTCTTAGACAAAAACCCTTTATATAGTACAGACCTATATTAACTACAATGCAACATATAGTATGCAACCATAAGTCATTCTTTGAAAGTCATTCAAGTAACTGCTAGCCTCTCTTAAAAACATTTAATTTTATTATTAATTTTAATTTAATGGTTTGCCAGCATTTGTTGTGGTATGCTGCATGACACCTTGCACATTTTAAATGTCTGCGTCTCTACCACCAAGAGTGGGAAAACAACATAAAGTAGATTGTGTGGCATAATAACAGTGAGATTTAAATATTTATGTTTCCTCTTCACCTTTACTTCTTTGTTCATATTATCAAAAGCAGGAAAGACAATTTAACTTTAATTTTCAAGTAAAAGGTAGGTTTAATGATCATATGTTCTATGATAATACTGTCAGCTGTCAGACACTTTTTTCTAGCCTTGTAGGAGAGTACCATGAGCTGTATGAGATGCAAAGGCGCAGGCTAGAGTCCCAGGTGTCTCATCTCACTGAGGAAAGAGACCTGTGGAGCAGAGTCACTTACAGCCTTGCATTGAAGGTAGGTGGAAGTTTTAAAGCTTGTCACAATGCAGACACCACAGAAGATTTATCCAAGGGCAAATAGTTTTAAACACTTAGGATAGGGTGTGTGCCTCCCTATTGGAAAACTTTCACAACCACAGAAATTGGTTCAAAGTGGAATCAGGTGAATATAGACTAAAAGATTGCCAACATGATTATAGAAATGGCAGTTCTTTTGTTACGAAGCAACAGTGATTTAATTAGAGAATATTATTTGACATCTTTAGATTTGTAGAATTATATTTTTAAATGTTCCATGTAAAAAATTAAATCTAAATTTAAACAATAGGAATCCAAGATAATGCTGCATGTTGATTAGGAGCTGATTGCTGACAAGGGGAGAATCCTCTAAATTGGTTGAGATAATTAGTGGAGTGCCACACGTATCTGTACTGCTACTACTGTTCCTTTTTTGTGTCAATGATTTTAGGCAGTGTCATTATGGATGATGCCATTTTTTATAAAAAAATAATGTATATGGACAAAAAGGATGTGTCACAGACAAGTAGATACATTTTATTGTTTCAAATAGGGTGCTCAGGAAAACAACAAGTGGTAACTTAAATAATTATGAAGGGGTTTTGTGCATTTACTGGGATAATTATTAATTGTAGCAGTAAGTCACAAAATTATTCTTTGATGGCTATTATAAAACCGACTTTGCAGAATAACTCAGCAACGCACACACATGGATGCTAATACATGAGAATACATTTATTATTATATAATATATAAAATGTGCATATAAACATAACAGATCTTATAGTGAGGGTTAGCAGAATACAAAAGGCATATATTCAATAACGAATAGTTACAAATACCAAGAGAGACATACATTCAGTATACCATTCATTTATACCATTTCGTTAATGGAGCTTTGATTACAACTTCTACACTAGATACTCAAAAGCAAGTATGCCACTCATAGGAATTAAATTGATATCAACTGGGGTTGAGGTAACAATTGAATTCTCAAACTGTAATGCAGAATGTTGAATACTCATCCAATTTATGTGGATTCAGATCTCCCGCGGACACAAAGGAACAGCAACAGGCTGTGGCTGCATCCAATCGGCATCCTCTGGCCTGGTGCCAGGCAGTCCTGGTGCGGCTGGAGGTGTAGGAGAAGCAGGGAGAGATTCCTGCCGCAGCGTGCTGGCAGTGACTCTCTGAAGACCGGCTAGTTAGTCCTGGTTGAACTAGCAGAGTTTGTGCACATGAAAAGTGAATGCATGTCCAAGCAAGTCACACTCTTTAGACGGGAAGAAGACCGGTTCGTTCCTGATGTAGCGCTAGTCCTGCATACTGAGATTCAACTGTCTACAGTTCCAACCGTAGTTCACTTGTTGATTAGGCGAGCATTCGCGGTGGGTTATCAGCGGTTCACGAAGCTTGCTGCTGGGTTAACCTTGGGCGGATCCTTTGATTATGTGCGAGCAACCTCCGGTCTTGAACAAAGTAAAGTCCTGGTACTCGGACAAACTGGCTGTCATGTGATTGTCTGAGCTGAGTCTGAGAATGTCCTGGAGGGGCACCTTCTGGGTGGTTCCTCCATCTTTTATCTGGAGGAACAACGGTCATTCATTGGTTGAAAGTTTCACAGGCTTTCGAGACCCATGTAGGGTTACCCTACCCTACCAGTTCCTGATTGGCTGATCAAGGTGGAGGATGAGTAACAATGCCCTCTGACCTTAGGTTGTAAACCTTGGAATGAGACTCTCCCTTGGAATCTCCCAGACAGTAAGGCGCCAAAGATGACCATTCATTAGGGTGGCTGGAGAATCTCAGCCTTGGGAGTTGTTCCTTATCAGGAAACTCAATCAGATAGAAAAACACCTTAAATCTGAACCACATGGAATGGCCTCTGTGTCCAGCACCACTAAGATGAGGGAGAGAGTGGCAAGGGAGCAGCATACTTAATTCCTGTATTATTAATAAGCCCTGCAGCTACAATTATAATGCCTGAATGACAAAGATATTCTCATGCAGTAGTATGTGTTTTGGCACTTGAGAACTGGCACAGCTCTGGTGAAAGAGTAATAATTTCAGTCAAAGCTTGATAAAATATCAATACAAAACATTATGTCCCAGAGGTCTACATTCTATAGACCCAGAAACCCATAATACTAGCCCTTGTAACTTGGAACCCAATGCAATGCCAGCAAGACAGATAACATGGGTTCTAGATAAAAGAATCCAACTCAGGACTTAATCTCCCTTCCTACCACATGGATGTGCAGCCAATACTAATAATAATAATTAATAATTTCTTAAACCCATATAGCACTTCTCTTGACACTCCGCTCAGAGCACTTTACAGGTAAATGTGACAGCAGCCATAGTGCACCAGAACACTCAACACACACCAGTTATCAGTGGGGAGGAGAACAGAGTAATGAGGCCAATGGACCGATTGAGTGCCCCTGCTGGTCCCACTAACACTTTTTCCAGCAGCAAACTTAGTCTTTTCCCATGAGGTCTCCCATCCAGGTACTGACCAGGCTCACACCAGCTTAGCTTCAGTGGATTACCAGTTGTGAGTTGCAGAGTGATGTGGCTGCTGGCTAATGAATCCTGTGTTTGATTCTGATGTAATGATGAACTACAAACCAGTTAATTTCTAATTTACCATTTGTATCTGAGATTTTAGAATGTGTGTTTACATATAAATTACAGGCTCACATGATAGCTAATGATCTGTTTGAACAATTCCAGTCTGGTTTTCATACTAATCATAGCACTGAGACTGTCAGGGTTGTTAATGATTTGCTTGTTGCATCTGACTTATATGGTTATAGGTGTTCTTATGCTGCTTGTGCAATCTTAGTGCGGATTTTGATACAGTAATCATTAAATATCTCTCAAATGCTTACAGACATTGTCTATCAATAGTACTGTTTTCAACTAGTTTTGTTTTATCTTACTGGCAGGAGGCAGTTTGTTTCCCTTGGTCTGCATAAATCCCCTCATACATCTAAATGGCTCCAGTCAATCATGACTTGCTGCAGTACTCAGTCTTGGACCCATTGCTTTTGTATTATTTGTATGCTTGCTCTCAGTCAGATGACACAAATACATGGTCTTCAGTATCATTGTTATATGTATTATACTCAGATTTACATTAAAACCTTTTCCCTGTATTATTTCCCACCTCTGTCACTTACTTCTTGTCTGATTGGCATCAAGCTCTTTTTGACATAAAATTCCTTGAAGCTAAATAGTGACAAAACAGAAATTTTACTGGTGGGTAGCAAATGTAAGGTCGAAAAGCTTCACAGTAATGGTGGATGCCCCATTCAGGTATCAGCTGTAGTCATGAAGTCACACTTGATCTTCTCCTGTTTTAACCCTCATTTGATAAAAATTAAGACGTCTTTTTTCGCCTTATAAATAATGCCCATATTAGTTCAATCCCGAGTGCTTGATTCATGCCTCTATAACACCAAGGCTTTATTTCTGTAACATTTTGCTTTATGGCCTCTTCTCAGTACCTTGTAATATGTCCAAAACTTTGCAGCCAGACTTCGAACTCACACAAGACCCTGGCAGCATATCACTCTTATACTTAAATCTTTACATTGGTTGCTTAAAATGTCACATATTCAATGTAAGATCTTGTAACGAACTGTTGAGGTTCTAAATAATACAGCTCCATCATACATCTCTGAAGTTCTTTCTGTTTACATTTCCTCCCATAGGCTTCAGTTGAGGTTGATCCTTTACTCACTGTACCTAGGACTTAATCTCAGTAGTTTGGTGCTTTTTATGTCACTGCACAGTTGTTATCAAATGCCTCTGACTCATTGAGGGTGTTGTGGGAAATTCTTTATCATGGGAGTAGGAAAGTCTTGTCCAGATTCAGTTTTATTGATCCTCAGTAAGTACAGCAATGCGCAATGGGCTGCCTCGCAGAACAGACAAACTGCAAGGGTTTCTCAGCTCTTACAGTATACAGTAACTGTATAGTACAGACTGAGAAAAAAACATTACTACTTCATACTTTAACATGTAACATAAGTTGTTTTTCCTTGTTTATGGTGTGTTAATGTTTCTTTTAACACTTATAGCAGGGCATGTTTTGTTGCAGCAGTTAGGGCAAGTCACCTTTGTTTGCTCTAACAAATATTTTGAGCCGGCCTAAGTAAACAGATCTCTGCAATCACTCTAATGACGTCTACAATTTGGTTCAGTAGTAATATTATAGTGCTTGATATGTGTAGTATAGATATAGGTCCTACTCCAAACTACAAATTTTTATACTGTTTTCAAATCTAAACTTAAAACTCACCTTATTAATGTGGCTGTATTTGACTGCCTTACAGTTTTTTTCTTATGTTTGTTCCTGTTTCATTTTTTTCTTCTGTTTTTCTTCTTTATCACTGTCTACAGCATCCTTGCATTTTGAAATGTGCTTTATAATTAAAACTTATTTTTAATAATAACAGTTAAACATTAGTATTATTATTATTTTGTTTTGGCTGACTGTATTGGCCTTAGGATTCCACAATAAAGGAAATCAGAATTTCCCGAACTAAATAGGACAGAAAGTCACTATAACACTATATATAACTATACATACTATAACAAGGTTCAGATTACTTAGCCAAAATCTGGGAGCATTTTCACAGAACATTTTTAACTAATTCAGGATTTTCTTAAGTTATTTTAACTGCTTTACACAAAGACAAATGGTTGAAGCAATTTTGGTTTAAATCTGATTAACTGTGCATTTACACTGCACCATAGGCAGGAGGGTGGAGCATCAAACCCTTCATCCTGTGCCAACAAAACCTTTATAGAACACTATTAAATCTGTTGTAATAGAGAGAAGATATACTGTAGCTGCTGCAAAAAGAATCTCAGATAAATTGAATTTGGAAGTTAATTATGAAATCCAATGAGATATTTCAAGATATAACATATAAAAACTAGAAAAATTGCGGAAGCACAAATGTATTGGCATTACTTAACCCCATT